GATGACTATTTCTCTTTTGAGTACTTAAGTACTTCAAAAGATACAAGTACTTCAAAAGAGGAAATAGGATTACCTTGTATATCGTTTGGCCTGCGTTGATATTTTATTTTATATCTTTTCTCTTCCTCTTTTGATTCTCGGGATCCTTGTCGTACAAGTCACCTCGCATAATAAATTCATCAATGACCGCTCTTTTCCGATCTTGAATCTCAACCCGCCTTGTGTAACCGAGTTGCCCTTTATACTGTGAAAGTGAATCGTCCATGACATCTGCAATTTCTCAACTGATAAAGGACTAACGCGTCCCCTACCACGTCCCTGTCCACGTCGATCTCTCCGTTGCGCCAGTGTAGTGGATCCCGGAGTGACAAAATCAAGCTCTTTTCTCTTCACCCCGCGGTCACCTATGTGTCCAATCCTCTTAACCATGGAGAACGTAGACAACAAGTGCCTGTCTATCTCTCTCGTCCTCATTCTTCTCCCCCTCGTCCTCATTCATCTGTTCCCCGTTACCCCGTTATGATCATCTTCTTCATTTTCATCATCTTCGCCTTCATGAAGTATTTCCGCACATAGGTTCAGGTTAACAAAGATCAACCAAACTATTGTTCTGCTCTCTCGAAAGATAAACATAAAATATGAAATTAAGGATTTGGTTCGGAAAACTTCCATAATCAGCACAAGAGCACAAGACAGCAGCTTATGCAGTTGCACCCTTTCCTTTCTTCTTCTAGATTTTCTTCATGTAAAACTCCAACTCCTTCCCGTCCAGAATATAACTATATCCACACCAAAAAAAAAACGCCACATTAGACATGTGATGTCAGCAATATTACAGAGCTAATTGAAGTCGTCGAAAAGAAATCAATATAGTTCCCACAAGCCACAGGGAGATTTCGACCCCATAAAAGAAATTGCAAAAAAAAATTACGAAGTGTAATTTATCATAGAATCATAGTTCATTTTTTTATCATTTTTTACTTGTTAAATAAAGAGGAAACCGGAGATGAAAATATATACCCGTCAGCGCGACCGCACTGGCCTGGGCATGGAGAAATGGCAGAGCTAACAAACGACCACTGCAAAATTGTTCCTCAATATGTGTGTTGATTTTACGCTCTTCTTGGCGCTTCTCGATTTTCCTATGCACATGGTTGCTCTTCTTTGCCTCTTCGGTGGCAGCAGCCTCAGCCTCCTGCAGTGAAGTCAAATAAAAAGTTTTAACAAATTAATTTAGAAAAGTCGATAACTAAAAGTTTAACTCATAACAAGGCTATGCAACCTACAAAATTATGGTAACTTCCTAAGCAATTACATGTTGTCTATAGTGAAAACAATTTTCCATAGTCCAAAACAGTATAGTGTTTTCATTAAGGGTGGAAATTGGAACTGAAATTTCCAATTCCGGTATAAAAAAAATTGATTTTGGTGCAATAACTTTCATTCGGAATTCCAACAGTTCCAATTTCCGAATTGGAATACATATTATATCACAATTTCCTATCCAATTTCATTCCAAAACATTCCAATTATTTTCCAAAAATTACACCTACAATATCAGTACCATCATCACCATTTTTTTCGAAAGTACCGATTTCCTATCCAATTCGTTCAATTTTCACGCCTGGTTTTGGTTCATTTTTCAATACAGTCATGTTCAATTTTCCTAGCTAAAACACAAAAACCAAACAACTTTAACAAGACCATTTGTGTCAATAATAATATAGAAGATTAAACACAAGAAAAACAAAAGGCAACCAAAAAAAAAAACTAAAGTTATTATTACCTCTCCTTCCTTCTTGACAGCAGCCTTCTTCTTGCGAGAGATGTCAACTCCATAATGCTGAAGATACCACTGCTTGAAAGGCGCAGCATCAACCTGAATAATAGCACTCTTCACCAAAGTCTTTGTCCTAACCAACTCATTGTTCGATGCATTGTAAACCACATCGAGAATACGGGTCTTCCTGGTCACAGCCTCACTTCCCCAAGAGAAATTTCCAGTATCGAGCCTCAACGCACGCCACTTCACATTACCACCACGCACCCTCACTCTACGCACCGTCTTGTTACTCGACAGCTTCGTGTTCGCTGGCTGTCTTCCGAGCTCGTACCTAACAGAGTACACAAAACAGAATCAACCAATCGAATTCAATTATAAGATATAGGGTTCGAAAAATTACAAATTAGAAACCCTAATTACAATAAGAACAGTAGGTAATAATAAAATTTTGGGCATAACAACAAAAATTAGGGTTTAATGAACCAAATGGATCCGATTTAGGTATATGAAGTAAAAAAAATTAAAGATCTGATTTTTTTCTTCTTTTTTTCAGAAATGTACAACAGATGCAAGCCAATTGAATTAAGCAGAAGACAAATCTGAAAAAATGAACATTTAATTAAATCCGAAAAAATAACTGCACATAGAAAAATTAATTGGAAAAATAAAATAAAATAAAATTACTTTCGCTTCTTCCTCCAGGCTTTCTTCTTTCCTCCAGTTTCACGCCTCTTGTGCATGGAATCCCTAGAAATACCTGCAAAAATACCCAATTTCCGTGATTCATTGTGCAAAAAAAAATCAACACGATTGAGATTCGATTACGAATAACCGAGTTAACAATGGAGAAATGGCGAAGGGCGGCGCTGGTAAATTTATTTACCCATGATTGCCGGCGGAGGATTTCTAAGCTCCGATCAGAGGTGTAAAGACGGCGGTACTGCCAGCAACAGAAAATAAAATGAAATTTCTGAAGGGTTTTTAAACCTTTTTAACACTCGAGCCCAAACCCTAGATGACGGAAATTACAAATAGACCCCTCTCTATCGCCTATACGACGTCGTTTGTGCTTTAACTTAATAATATCCAATTTGTGAAGCCCAACCCATTAGAGATGGGGTTAGTAAATCCATTTTTCAGTTTTTACATGGAAAAAACACCCAATAATATGTTGTAATAATTAAATTCCAAGTATTAATATAATTTTTTTTTTTTAATTTTATAAGAATAAAAATACTTAAGAATTCATACTAATTGATGGATTAATATCAAAATATATTTATAATTAAGGGTAAATTACAAAAACCCCTTGAATTTAAGCTAAATTACGAAAAACATCTCAACCTATTCAAATTACCAAAATCCCCTTTTGACGTTTGTTTCCGTCTTACAACTACCCCTTATGGTGTTATTTTTGCACGGAAATTTTTTGATCCAAAGGAATATTTTCCGAAAAAATTCGATCTCACTCCTACAAACGTAGTAATTTCTTTCTTATTTTTTGATCTTCTTGTAGACCTTCCGAATAGTTTTTTGGTTGTGCAAACCAATGCTACTTTTGTAAGGACAAAAATTACATTCAGATGGGTAACGATAATACTAAAAATTTGTGACGATATTATTTAAGAAGAATAAAGATTCCGTGTAAAGTCCACCTGAGGGTAATTTTGTCTTTAAAAAATACATAAAGAAAAATGCCACGTTCATAGGAGTAAGATCGGGATCGGTATTTTTTAAGAAATTTCATTTGAATCTAAAAAATTCCGTGAAAAATAACACCATAAGGGGATCAGTGTAAGATGGAAACAAACATCAAGGAGATTGTCGTAATTACAAATAGATGGGGGTGTTTTTTGTAATTTAGCTCAAGTTCAGGGGGATTTCGTAATTTACCCTATAATTAAATGTATCCTTGTGGTATGATCTTCAGAAAATAGATAAAACCTAAAAATTCAAATATCTATCATCACAAAAAGAAGCCACAAAATAAATCATCTTCCAAAATCTCAATGTAAAATAAATTTACAATGCAACTTCTAACATGTCCAAACATTCTACATAAGACAGGGAAAAAAACAAAGTTGTCATTCTCATGAAAAAAAAAGAAAATTCAATACAAGAAAATCGAGGCCTCATTTTCTAATAGACCGACAAAACGAAGAGAAAGATTCCTTGAGCTCGTTCGGTATCGGAAATGCCAACGGAGGAAGCACGCCGTACTGTTGCCTGTCAACAGCACTCGTCGAAAACGGGAGAGCAAGTGCCGGTTGCTGTTTGTTTAGACCTTCGATAATAAACGAGAACGCCCCGAAAGTCAAACAGTTCTGCAGTAAAGCCTGAGGCGCACCTGAAAAAAAAAAAAAAAATTCGGTATTCACAAAAACATAAATATTCCATCTTCGAGGTTTCGCATGTAAATATGATGTTCGAAAATAAGATACCGGTGTAAGAAATTACAACCCCGTCGGATTATTACACTTCAAGAACTTGGCTTTGCACTCTTATTAAGAATAAGACCAGCCCAATATATCCATAGTTTTATATGAAGTTTGAATATACAAGAAAACACTATTGTAATATCTTAAGGCCGTAATAAATTAAATACGTAGAACTTATTAGATGTTTTGGTTGGTGCAATAATGTAATTAGGGTTTCATAAGATTATTTATTCTTATCTTTGCTAATCTTATCTTAGGAACCAAACGAGGCCTAAGGGTTCATTCACATTTTTGGTATGGCATATAGAGAGAGGTATTGATGAATTAAAGCTTATATGTGTTAAAAATAATTTATTTCATGTGTAGTATATTGGATTATAAAGATGGAAGTTTGACAAAAATACCCCCTTCGAATGTAATCTACTATATCATTTTAGAAATAATTGTGGGCAAAATTGTGTTTTCACGATGCTACTATGGGTCATTCTAGGATGATCCATTACTATAGGAAGCCAAAATTTCAAAATCGGGCTTTAATATAATGAAGTAAACATGGTATTACGTTGGATAAAATAGTACATACAACAACCTAGTACCCCGAAGTAAACATGCCCTAAACGAAAAAAAACCTTAAATGGAGAGTTAATTGTAAGATTATTACATTTTGAATGTAACATAGACTAAAATCGATTGGAATACCTGGAAAGCTTAGAGCAAGGCCGGTGCAACATCCAGCAACTCCTGCATTTAAGACTGTAACGCAAGATACAAGTTAGATAAGAAAGTGAAGTTATGTGTCGAGAAAACACACACACACACACATATGTATATATTCAAACGAGAAAAGCTTTACCATCATCTTTCCCACGTAGTCTCTTCATAAAGCAGACGACTAAACTGTGCACGCCAGATAAAATTGCAAACGTCTGCACGAATGGCAATAAACAAAGACTTCCAGCGTTATATATGATGTAGTAACTATAATCCATATTGAAATGATCGATCGACAAATCGGGAGTTTATATATATGTATGTAGGTATGTATATCGCACACCTTGGCGGAAGATCCTGCCTCGACAAAGGAACCCTTAAAACCCTTCTTCTTAATCAATCCAGAACCTGATAAACAGAGATTTACACGTATAAGTTTCGATGAATTCCGTCCCCATTTAACAAAAGTACACCAACTAATTTTCAACAAACACAGACGAAAAACTAAAAAATTGCTACTTTATTATTAATACACACATAATTGACCATGAAATTCATTAAAAATGTTTTTTTTTTTTGGATAAAAATATCCTCTTGCAGACAAAATATCATCAACTAACATAATCCGTCTACAAAATTCAAAATAAAACAATTAATTATGCTATGAAATTATCCAAAACAAAAGCCATGAATTATGAAATTTCATATTTTGTACAATTAAAAAGAAAAACAATTGAAACAAAAAAATAATAATAATAATTAATGGAGGCAAAAAAAGTATGAGGTAGATGAGGGAGAGGCTACCGTAGCCAAAAATGGAGCCCATCAAACCACCGGCGGCGGAATCACCGGCAAATTTAAAGAGGCATACAAGCGGAGGACTCGACGGATTGGCCGTGACTAGTGAATCGGAAGTAACAGTAGGGTTAGGGCCCGGAATATTCTCGATTTCGGACTCCGATTCGGGATTTTGGGGGTTCGCCGGCGACGACATTGTATATCGGAAAATTGGATAAACCCTACCGGCTTTTTTGGCAAAGCTCTCAACTTTTTTTCAGAACCGCTTTTCTGAATTGAACTGTGCGGAGGTATCAGAGTTAAAGATAAGTTATTGTGAAGAAAAATAATGTTTGTTGAGACAAAATAAATCATTTATTTATATTTAAAATTTCATGACATTATTTAAACCTAATATATCTATCATTGAATATCATATGAATATTTTGATTTTACAATTCTTGAAAAAAATTAGGGCAAATTATTGTTACCCCTGATGTATGGTCAAATTACGAAAGAACCATTATGTTTGGATAATTATAATCAGTGCCTCAGCTATGTGTTGTCTTACACGTATCCACCATTATGGTGTTGAATTTACTTATCGAAGGAGGGTGTTTTTGTAAGACAATGCATAGTTGAGGTGGGCGGTTGTAATTACCTAAACATAAGGGGGTTTTCATTATTTGATCATACCTCAGGGTTTGGCCGTAATTTTCCCTAAATTTTAACATGACAATCCATAATTCATTACTCAATAAAGGGCAATAATGAATTTATGGTGGAGTTTGCAAAAACTTTTGTACTAGTAAAAGTTGTTGAGTATGAGTTAAGATCAAAATGGTTCGTATTGTTAAAAGTTCGAGCGATTGCAAGTATCACGAGTCATAATAAATTGAGATTTGTATAAAGCATAATGAATGTCGGTCACATGCAATTTTTTGAGAAGTATTCCCTAGAATAAAAATAAAATCCGTGAAAATAACACCATAAGAGGTCGGTGTAAGACGGAAACAAACGTAAAAGGGGGTTTTGGTAATTACAAACAAGTGGGGGGTGTTTTCCATAATTTAGCCTAAGTTTAGGGAAGGTTTCGCAATTTACCCTTCAATATTTTTTTGCAATTTTTCCCAACAATTATCAAACATCAAAGGATTTTTGGCAAAATTTCAATTACCAGGGAAGTCAATACCATTAACAATATGGAACCGTTGAAACCGAAAGAAATTTTATTACACGGTGAAGCGCCTTAATGCATATAACTAAATAACTAAACAGCTTCGTAAAACATTATTTTGAAAAATTGAAATATTAACATTTTTATGGACCCGAAAATATTATATTCCGAGATTCGCGACAGGAGGGATACCATGGTTGTGCTTGCCATCGTAAGTCGTAATAACGAATCTGAAGTCGTCGGATGCTCTTTCCACCTGTTTCCTTACACAAAACAAACACAAAACAAGTACAAACTAAAGAACATTCCACGAAATTTAAAAGATTATATTGAATTTGACACCATAAGGGTGGACGTGTAAAAAAATTCATAATTGAGAGGTAGCTGTAACTCTCCAAACAAGAGGTTTTTTTTCGTAATTTGACCATACATCAGGGGTAGATGTAATTTACCCCAAAAAAAAACCTCTAATATCAAATATTAATATATGAGCTCAAACACATCAACGCAATCAAGACCCTCTTTTTCATTATCACAGCCCGTGTAATAAGTCTGCAGATAAAAATTTTGCATTGTGGCTTGAAGAACAAGTTACGAACGATAGATGCTAGTTACCATCTCGAGTAGCGAACGACAAATCTATGTCAATTAGATGGGGTTTTGGATGATGATGCGAATCCCTGTAGACAATTTCCGTTATTTCTCCAGTTGGAGAACGCACACACTTCTTTCTCACCGTGCAACCAGGGTAACTACATCTGTAATAACGAACGGGAAAATCATTTCCTCCGACCACTCTTTTCCCATATTGTATCCAGAGATACTCATCATATGGTAATGTATGTCCCGTCATTGAGTGAAGGAGACCGTGAAACGCTTCGATCTCGAATTTCGTTGACCTGTCCGATTTGGTTCAATACAAAATCAGATAAAGAAGCTCAAGTATCAGAAAACGAAAATTAGTTTGAGATCCCCATCTTGCTATTATTACAAAAGAACTATAATAATTACGAAAACCCTCCTCATGTTTGGGTAATTACAATAACCCCCTCAACTATAAATTTTCTTACACGTCCACCCTTATGGTTTCAAATTTAGGGGAATCTTCTTGATTATACGGAATATTATCACTTTTGTACCCGTTTTATCCCATTCGAACTCCACATTTTAAAGCAAGATGATCTCATAAGATGTGTTTTTTGGCTTGTATATATAAGATTGTGGTGCATCATAAACTGTATTTTGACACAAAACGAGTACAAACTCGAGCACGTTTCACAGAATCTAGATGATTATGTTGAATTTGACACCATAAGGGTGGACGTGTAAGAAAATTCATAGTTGAAGCGGGAATGTAATTATCCAAACAAGAGGGGGTTTTCGTAACATAAAAAACGAAATCATTTACTTCTTACAACATTATTCTTATATTTGTCGAGACTAACTGAAATGTAAGATGCCCTACACATGATTTTCTGAAGAAACTATGTATTATATGACACAGAAAAAAAAAAAAAAAAACAATCTCTCGCCAAAATCGAAAGATAGTAGACAATTACCGTTGGTGAAGCTACGTCCGATTCTATCTCATCAACAGTATCATCTTGCTCTAGAAAGAATGCTGTAGTTTCATCGGAATTCGGAACCCCCATGAATGGAGCCTCGAAAAACAAACTATTTTGTCGAAGAAGGCTCTGCCTGTAAAAAAAAAAAAGCTAAAAACGAAAGATTCATCAGAACACGAAAGTGATTACACTCAGACAGTAATATAGAACATTCAATGCAAGAATCGTAATCCAACGGTCCCGGAAATCCACACTAAAGGCAAAGCAATATTATTCATTTCACAATTAAGTTATTTTCCAATAGATCATTGAACAAACAGCAACACAATGGAAGACGACAGAAACATCAAATTAATTTTGCCAAAAATCCCCAATACAAACCCCTCTTACGTCAGCATCAACCCTATTTCATAACTCAAAAACTAATTAAAAAAAATATCAGAAAATTCACAAAATTTGAGCAACCACGTGAAAAATTAGCTGTGATTTCATTTTCCTCACCGGAAATATGAATTTCTCAAGCTAATGAAGCAGATAGGAAAAGCGGAGTACGGTACAACGATCAGTAGCGAAACGAGCAGCAAATAAATAAACAGAAAATAAAAAAATTAAATCGATTAAAACAATGCGTAATTTGAATTGCGTGGGTGAAAACGAATTCCGACCTCGACGTTAGAGAGAAGAACTCGATCCACCGGATCTGCCGCCGTTGTTCACGCGCTCGCGACTGAGGTTTCTCCATTGATGAGAAATTGTCGTTTCGATTCAGATTATGAAATTTGATACGAATTTAATTAATTATACAATTGGATAATGGGAAAAATACAGTTTTCACCTCTCAAGTTTGAACGGATTTCATATTTGGTCCCCGTTATTCACAAAATACACATTCGGTTCCTCATGTTTGAAAAATTCAGCATTTTTAGTCTTTTTTCGTTAAGTTTTTGTTAAAACTAACGGAATCAAGCATGTGTGATGTGCCCACCACTAATTTAACTGATGGACTAACAGTAAATTGACAGAGATGACCAAACTGTTAAATTATTGATGATGGATTTGTTGGAAAAACCGATAAACAGTGTTTTTCGTTTAATATAATCAGAATGTTACAACTTAAATAGAAAACTAAGTAACAAATTTATCCTAATTTTAAGGAACACTAACCCACTACTAACAACTAACTAAGTATCCTACAATCACGGATACTATTTTGACTAGTTATTTTACTAAACTAATATTAATCATTTAATTATCTAAACAATAAATCTAATATTTTAACACCCTCCTTTAAACTGATTTATGCGGAAAACAGTTTACAATGAGATTTATTGTTCTCCTTTGATATATTCTTTTGCGAAAGAACATATATCAAATTCCTCACATTGAGAACCAATGCCTCAAACACTCCAACTCGGGCGAACGCCTCTTTCCGCCAATCTTCATTGATTGATAATTCATCAATTTTGGACGAACGCAACTTTTCGAACGTCTCCCTCAGTCAATCTTCACTAATTGACAAAATGATTTATTTTACTCAAGAAATCTATTAGCTGCTGCTAATATCACCACTTCTAATTCAAAAGAAGTATTCCACAATGTTTTCATCCTCAAACATTGTATTCATCAGCTACGGCTGATTTCAAAATTTTCCGTACTCTCATCAACCACTTCTGGCAAGAATCCTCCTAGAGGACTGAGATGCTGCCTGCTGCCTGCCACCTAAAGCTTCCAATCGTAATTCGCCGCCTCGAATCTTCTAATCTCCCCGCCGAGTTTGCCAACCGTGTTGTCCTTTGCTGAGTGTCGCCTCGTCTGTATCGGATTTGGCCTTGGTTGCCTCGACGGTGTGGCCCTCCCCTCGCAACAGCTGTTGAAAAATAAGAAGATCGCCTCATGATCACCTCGATTTCTTCATCGGCCATCGTCATATTATTGAAAACAAAGACTCTATCGCCAAGGCTGTCGCCTGTGCCTTTGGCGCAACCATTCTGTTAATGTCATTTTTATGACTTGGATAATGAAACCCAATCCAAACCTTGTCGAGAGCCTCTGCTGCTACTTCCGCTGCTGCTTCTACTACTTTCGTAGCCTCTGCCGGGGTAAGATTCACTGTGCTTGGTGCAATACACAGAGGCTCCGTCAGGATCAGTCACATTTGCTGCCTTAGCACGTCCATCGTCATTGCCGTGAGGCAACGTCAACTCCGCCATTTTTTCCTTCGACGAGTCTGCTGAAACCCCATATTTGATGGCTGATAAGGTCACATCGTAAACATCTTAATGTTGTTGCTGATTCAACACTGAATCTCGTCGAAATCCTACGATGCTGGATAATCTACTAAATCGTAAAATCTCAATTCAAAGACAGAGATCTCTTTGAACATGTCTCACTACTAGAAAATCACGATTTAGCGACGAACGTTTGTGACGGAATATAGATCCGTTTCAAAATTGACCAGTTAGCTTCGGAATTTGTGACGGACTATAAATCCGTTTGTTTGATGACTATAGTTTATATATAGCGATGGCATTAGCGACGGGCGTTAAATCCGTCTCTAATTAAAATATTGTAGCGACAGATGTAGCGACGGATAGTAAACTCGTCCCTTTGATATGAAA